AACTCCAAATTGTTCAAACCTTTGAAATAACAAGCTTAAGTGTTGCATATGTTCTTCCATCGATGAGCTGGCGATTAAGACATCGTCGATATATACAAAGACGAAATCAAGACCTTGGGTAACTTGGTCCATAAAACGCTGAAATGTTTGAGCAGCATTCTTTAGTCCGAAAGGCATTCTCAAGAATTCGAATAATCCAAAAGGCGTGATAATTGCTGTTTTTGCAATGTCTTCTGGAGCGACTGGTATTTGATGATATGCCCTGACCAAGTCAACTTTAGTAAAAATGGTCTTTCCATGTAAGTTCAAGGAGAAATCGTGGAGATGAGGTATAGGATAACGATCTGGGACCGTAGCGTTATTCAAAGCGCGATAATCTCCACATGGCCGCCAGTCATGATTAGTTTTAGGTACCATGTGCAGAGGTGAAGACCATGGGCTGTTAGATGGTCGTATGATACCTAGCTGCATCATATGTTCAAATTCCGACTTAGCTGCTGCTAGTTTATCGGGTGGTAACCGTCGTGGACGTGCCTTCACAGGTTGTCCTGTTGTGATGATCTTATGCGTAACTGTATGAGATATATCTTCAACATTGTATGATGGTTTAAGGATTTTAGGAAATCGTTGCAATAAAGCAGAGAACATTTCACTCTCCGGCTTTTCTATACAGATGCTATGAACAGAGTAGTCACATGTAATACCGTGGATCTTGAGTTGGGTGCAATTGTCAACCAGTTTTTTCTTGCTGATATCAACCAACAGATTGAAGTGACTTAGGAAGTCTGCACCTAGTATAGCGTGACGTACGTCAGCTACTATGAAGATCCATGTGAAACGTCGGCGTAGTCCTAGGTTTAAAATCATTGACTGTTCGCCATACGTCGGTATGTCGGTTTGGTTGGCAGCACGAAGTGAAAGTTTACCAGGTATTTTGGCTGATCGCCTGGATAGTGAGGGGGGAATAACACTGACTTCGGCGCCTGTATCTACCAGGAATAATGTGCCGGTAGTCAAATCCCTCACATAGAAAAGGCGACTGGGGTGATTGCCAGTAACAGCTGTCGCCATCACTGTCTGGCTGAGGCGTTTCCCTGAGCCTGGTTGGCTTCGCTAAAGCTGCACGGTTTTACACATTTCAGGGCATGACGTCCAAACTTCCAGTGATACCAGCATATATTGCTATCCCGAGAAGACGTGTAAGAACGCTGTCGTGAGAAGGATCGTCGTCGTGATGGTGACCTTCTCTGTGAGCTCCGCCTCCGGACTTGTCGATCCGACCTATTAGTCTCCAACTTGTCAATCCTTGCCGCTAAGTCTGCAATGGCGGCGAGTATCGGTGTGTCTGCCGTGGGTGTGGAATGACACGGTGTGGCACTATCAGATGCTACGTGACTTATGGTGTTATCAGATAAAACATCCATAATACTATCTGCCATGTCACTTAGTTGGTCTAAGTCATACGACTTTCCTGAGATGATTAAAATTTGCTGGACATTTCTAGGTAAACGTTGCAACCACATCTGTTTCAGCACTACCTCGTCTACTTTATGATGTCCGATTAACTGGCGCATGTGCCTGAGTAGCTGGGATGGTTTACGTGGGCCTAGATCACAGCCTGTGAGCAATTGTTGGATTCTTTTCTCATCCGACAAACTGGTACGTTGTATGAGGAGGGCTTTAAGTTTATCAAATTGATGTTCCGTCGGAGGATCTTCGATGAAATCGCTGATTTCTGTCAATACTGACGGAGGGAGTTCTGCCAGCACCATACCATATTTGGCTATTTGGGACTTAATGCCCCGTGCTTCTAGCAACGGTTCAATTACCGCAAACCAAATCCTTGGTTCCGCGAAACCGTATTGGGGTAAACGAAAATCAGTGATGGCATTTATTGTGGCATTTGTCTCGCTATTAGTTGTCTGCTCGTTTGATGTACCGGACCGAGGTGATGACATTATGAATATGGGGTTATTGGTACAAATTAGGATACAAATATAAACCACACACAAAATCACAATGAATATACAAAATAGCAAAAATAAGAATATGAATATGCCAAAATAATCCGTGTTCTTATCGGGCTCACCAATTAATTTGTAGGGGACTAATATTAGAGTTCACTAACATTCCAAGTATAAAAGTAATAATCCAAGTCAGTGGAGTGTTAAATCACAATATATTACCAAAAATACAGTGACGAGTTATAGCAACAAAAAGGATTACTTGTAGATAACGTCTAAGTCCTCGACTACAAATTAATTATATAATCCATGGGCACGTTAATTGTTTGGACTGCGTCTGCTGTAGCTGCTGTGTTCCGGTTGTAGAAATGTCTTCGGTTGAGAGTAGTAGGCTCCTACAATAAATCCGAAGTATACAACACGGTGTGAGTGGAGCAAGTAAGCAGAAGTGACCAGGGAGAAGACGAAGTCTCCAACAGCAGAGTGTATTTTTCAATTGTACACGGAAGTTATGTATATTTCAACAAGAAGCGATTTAAACAAAAATTATGTACAATATCTCGAATTTATACAAGTAACCAAAAAGTGTACAATCACATTGTTACGTACTCAACAGAAAGAACAAGATGTTGAATTTTTTAGTCAGAAATACAAACAAGTTTACATCATTTAAATTAATTTGTTTATATGGGATACATTATTACCATTACTATTATAATTATTGCTTGAGGTCTCTCAATTGTTTCAAAATAAGTTAAATGAAAATAATATGCAACAATTCTCCGAAATTTGTGCTCCTTTGCGGACTCGTGAGATATTCCCCTAGTAACTCCTAGACCACTATCTTATTTAACATTGATATACGTTTTAATTTTTCATAAACGTATTACTTTTCATTTATGGGGGTTTCCACCATATAGCTAATTCAGCTCCTTCCACTAAGGTTATTTTGTTGGTTATCCTTTCAGACCGCCATTACTTATTTTTATCTTTGAGATTAGCAACTGGACTGCAGTCATATCGAAATGTAACAGTTGCTTGTATAAGTAATTTTGAACCACAGCCTACTAAGACACTTGACTATCTCATTAAATATGCAAAAGTCAGGAATTCATAATTCGAAGAATTATTATTTTTTATTTGAAGTAAATAAAAACAAATAAAAATGAACATTTAAAAAGTACAACAAGTGAAATAGTTATTCAGCGTAATGTTCTTCATCGCAGAACTTTCTGACTAACAGCATACATTCGCTTGCATTTTATAGCCGTAGAACATTGAAAGAAACTGTGGTTGCTAGGGTCATACGCTCAATTCTTTATACCACCTCTGTTTACGTGTCATAAAATAAACTGCTAGCTGCAGAGAATAAAGCCGTTCAGGACGCTTTTCATAGACTGATGTGCAATGATGTCTAAATCTTTCAAAAACTGGGAACACCCGAGAAAACTTACCAAACAAGTAATGCAGTCTGAATGTACGAAAAAAGACGTGCAATGATAAATTTGAAAATCAAACTGCCTAAGGAAATAATATGAATGGAATATGCTGTTTTAGTTCGGCCATAGCAAAGTATAAATGAGTCATTCTGCATAGTTGTGTATGGATAATAGTGTAACAGATGTATGTGCTATTCGCCTTTTCTACTTTACAAGAGTCAAGTATCCGTCTCAGGCAGAAGGTAGAGTTTATCTTCAAACATCAACACATGTGTCGATACCTATCGTCAGACTAAAGAAAAATTCAGATACCATGTAGCAATGTAAGTTACTTTTTAATATCATTTCAGATTCTATAATGCATAAACATATTTGAAACTGTGAAAGGTTTTCAATAAATTGTGAGTTTTACCGCTAACATGAGTGTTGAATTCGTCATGTTATTGCGGTTAGCGATTGAATTTAGAACCCTAGGATGTCCCTAAGGTGAAGTGAAGCTTTCAAATTTCAGTCAGTGGTACACTAGTTCAAATTCCCATCTTCACATTCTTCTGATAACACAAGTCTCCCACAAAATGTATGCGTCTGATACACTACTTTTATGTACTCATCATGTGCAATCATTGGGAAGAAAGGTTGTTATTGTTACATAATTCTATTGTTGTTAAAATTTATTATGATAAAGTCTCACAATGTTATGCATTAATATTTACTGATGACGTTTCGAGAACAATTTGTTGCTCATAATCATATCATGTCACCTTGATATGATGCTTGAGAAGCAAATAAGAAAACATGACAGGCAGACAAAGAACAATACGGAAGACAGAACAGCTCAATACCGAAGATATATGCAAATTGTGATACCATCATATGGTAGACGTATTTTACCTATATCTGTATTAAACTGCATATAAATAGTTCCGTTACCAGTTCTCTTATCTTTTGCTGTTAGACTATTATCTAGGCCATGTGGAAATACTGTTAATAAAGGCTCTAGTTAATGGTCTCACAGTATTCTACAACAAAAGAAATGGTATGATAGCATCAGTTTTAAACATCAATAGTATTTCTACGATATTCACAGTTCGGTCATATTTTTACTGTTTCGAGTTCTTACAAATCCACTACTATTATTAGCCGTTCTTATGACGCTTGTTACTTGAGTCATTCTTCAAGACTATGCCAAAATAAATATAGTTTAAAAGTGAACTGTTGATGGCATTCATTTTTCAGTCCATTTTTTAATGACGCAGGAAAAATAGATATGAAATCTTCTAAAATTATATTGAGAATAAGAACCATATATCTTTGAAAGTCCTGTCATCAACAATCTAAGCTGTTAGTATCCCTTAATTCAAACATACATTTGATAAGCTGCGAATAGTTGAGACTATATCCATATTGGTTTTTTCATATAACAAGAGAGAAACAAAAAGTAGAGAAACAATAGACAAAAGATTACCATTGCTCTAAAAAGTTGTTATTTAACTCAGTAAGCACTTTCCAGTGGGCACAGACATACACATACGTACACATAATGTACTAATTAATAACTAACAGTATCTATGATGTTTCACATTTATTTTGATTTGATTCATTTTCTGGTTAGACCATCATCAAATTCATTATCACCATTGTGAGGTAGATATTTCCTCAATAGCTTTTGACGTCGATGATTGTTAAGTAGATGATTTCTAATAACAGCATCATTATCATCTATTGTGTATGGACTGCGCTTTCCAAACCTGTTAGTCAGAAAAAAAAATTAGACGAATTAACCATCTAAAAATGAAGATAATCTTTAAGAAGAAACTAATATAATCTATTGTTTGAATATACTGTCTGTTTACACAATAATCAGCTTTAAATTGTATGATATAATGAGCAAATGGAATAAATTACTTCAAGCCATACTCCACGAAGATATATTTTAATAATTGGAGTGTCTATACTCGAGGTTAATCATTTTTTAAATTCTAGGTGAAATGTGTATTGCTTAAGCTATAGTGACTAGAAAAGTTCAAATAATTTAATTTTAAGCTATATTCATATGTCGACACCACAACAGTGCGTCTGTGGCACAGTGGTTAGGACTCTCGCCGACCATGCAAATGGTGCGGGGTTCAATCCCCTACCAACGCACACCTGATATCAATGGTCGGCCTGCAAAATTTGGGCTACCGATATCCATGCTGAAAATTCCATACTTGCACCAAAATTACAGTGCGGAATCAAGCTGTAATCAAAAATAAAAAAAAAAAAATAAAACAGATGTCAGATTTATATTGCTAAATATGAGGGAAATGTCGCTCCACAAATATCCTGAAGAAAGTGGAGATGGATATATGTGTAATATATCCAATATATACGTGTCATATATCTAATAAACAAACTAATATGGAAAATGGAGATGGATCGGACATATGCTGTGGAGACCTTCGAATGACATCATGCACCAGGCCAGTGGTCGAGTAGAATCCGAGTGGGAAACGACAAGTTTGGCGTTGAACCAAGGGTGACAGAGAGAAGATCATGTAGAAAGGAGATGAGAGACTATGGGCAGTACTGGGGCAAGCTTAAGATGGACGCAGAGAATAGGTAGAAGTGGAAATGTGTTGTTGAAGCCTTATGTTCCACTTGGAATCCAAGGAAGCAATGATGATAATAGTAAGTAGCTGGGTGGTCAATGGAAAAAATATCTTTTTCTTAGTAATAAATAGTTCCTACTGTCTTGAAGTTAGCATATTTTGAAGCCATATCCAGGAGGGTAAATATTCTATGAAAGCTTAGTTGATTAAATCCAAATAACTCCTAACTGAAGACACAACCCTTAATTGATCCAACACATTCTTATCAAAATAATGACACCGGATGGTAGAATATGTCAAGAGCAATTTTATAACAGTCAACTAAGTTTTTGTGATACTTTCTAAGTCGCATATTTCGTGACCACCAAATATTCAGTAGCTAATTAAGGAGGGAATCTGCACTAAAAGTAGATAGACTTGACCATATCAGGTGACATAAAGTTGTCTCAGCTGTCTAAAGATCATGTGTTTATATCTAGACGTGAGGTACTTTATTTTATTTCAAACAACAGTACTTTATGGTAATATCCTTGTTTATGTCAAGGTAGGAAAAAGTGGATACAAAGAAAGTCGTTTTAGATTCAGTTAACTGATATCTCAAAAAAAGGTAATCGAAGTAGGCATAATGCTCCTTGTCTGATTATGTGAAAAAACTTAATACACTTCAAAGTTCTAGTTACAAGATACATGGAGAAAATTTTCATGTAACAGGAGTGAATGGATAAATTCATCTCTTTGACGATTCAAAAGAAGTTAATAACTTCATAGAAAATATCCTTATTATCCAAAAATTTTCCTGGCTCAAGATTCTCAAGCTACTAGTGCCACAATACCTTTATTTTTCGTATCAAGCAAGAACTTTTGTTAAACTCACGACGGGCTAACCATAAGGCTCTCTTCCCTTGCTTAAAAGGAAGTGCAGAAGCCGTTCATAGTATCTGCCACTCACAAATCTACGGGATTATTTTTTTAAATTTGTAGACGGACAACAGACGAACCCAGGAAGGGTGGAGTTAACAAAACTAATTGAAATATATGTGAGTAACACTTGTAACAATACAATTAGTTCCTTTTTTAAACCAATATATTAATGATTTATAGCCACAGTGTATTTCTGAGAATTGTATTGCTTCACTGAATTTACAGTAGATGAGTGAATATGAACAGTAATATAAAAAATAATGTTAAGCATTTACACTCATATTAACATCAATAAATATTTACGAGGAACGTGAAAAAAACCAGATGAGGTTTATACAAAAAGAACTCAAGTTTTTAAATTTCCCCATTCAGTAAATTAAGTAACATGCGTTGTTTATAAATACATGGAAAATATTACTGCAAACATAAATGACGTTTCGTGACTAGAAACACAAATGCAGACAGCAGCTGCACAACTGTTTGCTGTATCATTCTCATTCTTGACAATCAGAACACATACTTCGCAAACTGTTTACATTAATGGAAGTTCCATAGTGAAACAATCCGAGTACCGGTAATTAGCTCAACAAACATTACGGTAAAACTATGTGAAAATGCATCATTTGCTTTCTGACACTTCATTGGTCTTTGTGGTGCTGGTAATGTCCTTATGAACTCATTTTCACCGTGGACCTAACTGAGAAATAGAACTAACAAGGTTCTAATGGTAACTTCTCATTTCGTAGTGATAGTCAGATTGTAAGTGAGGGTTCCAGTATTGACGAACAGTAGTAGTAGTGAGTGGTGGTTAGGATTTTGAGGCATTTCATTCGGACGAATAATGAGATTTTCCTTTGAGCTGAATTACACTAAATAAGAATAGAAAAGTCCTAAGTTTTTGGTAAGTTTTATTCATACTACTTTTAATAGATAAGTAGCATGCAGAAGCAACAGTTATTTCTTTGTTGCCTTTTGGTAAAGCGATAACATGTGTATTAGAATTAGTCACCTGACAGTGTCTGACTTGACTTTTAGATCCTTGGTGGCAGTCAGTCAATTTTGTAATGTTAATAATAGGTCATTTCGGAAGGTATTGAACATATGACTATTCAACCATAGAATGTTACAAGTGGACTAGACTTGAGACAAAGATGTCTCGTTGGATTGAAGAGGCCTATCACTAAAAACATAATATTAGCAGTACTTGTTTACTACATTTCTTCATCAGAATCGGTAATTTCGACTCGTAGTAGTTTGGTAATGCTTCACTCACTGAGATCATACTAGGATAGCCTGATAAAGCTGTTTGATCACATTTCCATTTTTATATTTCAATTAGTATTTTTTCATATCCCAAACGGTTGTTCCACTCTTCTCAGTAATTCTGTCATATCTCAATCCAGAGAAGACTGTTTCTGCATTAAATCAATTCAGCTGCTTTTTTGTAAATCTTAAGGTCGCTAGTCAATATTTTTCAGTTATGCTATCACAATGAGTGTAGGTACAGGGTTATCACTGAATGTTAAAAAATTTTGTTTTTTTGACTACAGCTTGATTCCACACAGTACTTTTTGGTACAAGTATAGAATTTTTCAGCATGTGATATCTGCAGTCCAAGTTTTGCAGGCCGACTATCGATATCAGGTGTGCGTGGGCAGGAGACTGAACCCCAGACCTTATGCACGGTCGGCGAGAGTCCCAACCGCTGTGCCACCGACGTACTGTAACGATTCCTTGTTCATCATATTAACGTCTGACTGACTCAGTAAGAGTAAACCAAAACTTATCTTGAATATGTGAACAACATTTACGGCCATCAAAATGCAACAATAAAATCAATTCTGGAAATTGTATTTAGTTACTTTGGTATACCTACTTTCAGTGGTATGCGCCAAAAACTTCATATTAGTAAATCTAACAGGAGGTTCATACTCAACTTAAAGAAAGTGATGAGTAGATACTTCATAATACTTCATATATTGAAAGAGACAAAAAGTCCCATTTAGCTGAGGGAATTATTTTCAAAATAATTTTGAAGTTTGTGTATAAAAAAAAGGGTGCGCATAGTGCAATTGGTCTGAGCAGTCGTCATACATCATAGGTTTAGACTTTTCTTCCATGCATACAGGGACAGTTTCTTTCAACACTATGCTCATTCCGGTAATTTTCATTTGACCATGTAGTAATGTACTTTAGCCTGATTCGAAACCCATATCATAACAATTGTTTTATTTGGCTTCCCTTTTTTCACATTTACAAGCAAACTAATGCAGGCGGTGAGTGGGTAATCAGAGTATTTCAAACATGTCATGAACATGCATCGTACTTCCTGAGGTACGTTTTGTGTCGTAATCACAGTATCCATTGGTTGTGATTATTCAGAAGTCAGGTACTCCAAATCAACGAATTTATGCTGCTTTACATTAAATATGTAACTTATCTGGTGTTAGTTCCACCTATTATATAATTGATATGTGGACCCAGAGACGCTTTGTAAATATCTTGTGGAACATATATGTAACCCAATCAATTCAAAAGCTGTACCTAATAGACTGGTCAATTTATTGGGTGAAGCATAATTCCGCAGTGAATTTGAAAAAATTGAAATAACTTATGTTCAGAATTCATTCACTATCATCAGTGCATTTACATAAAAGTTACAAAGACTAAATCTAAAGGGCTTACTTATATTACCGAGACATTTATGACAGAGTTCGTTGGTGAATACAAAAGTTTCTAAAATGAGTATTACCCATGCATAAAATATAACTTTCACTTTCATCTGTTGACTGCTTATTAATATTATGTAATCTACAGTGACGCCATTAAGTCTCAAGTTCGTTATGCTGACTGATTTCAGAGTTTTTTTTGTAAAAACTGGAAATGTCCTTTGAAGTGAAGGCCAATTAATAGCCTCTTTTATTTTGAATATGTACTTAAACGTTTAAAAACCACGCTTATCTGAAATGAACTATTGTCGACTGTTGTCTTTATTAATTTTTTCCAACCCAGAAGTCTTATTTCATTAGGACATCTTTATTTTGGCTTATTTAACGTCAAAATTTATCTGTATAACTGACAATATTCGTTTTAAAGCGAACAGACACTTGGCTAACATTTTTCCACATTGTAAGCCTACTGAGTTATCCACCCGTAACTAAAATAATGAAAGTAAAAATTTAAAACAGAGAAGCAGCTATTGAGCATTTAAACGTTGAAAGAGATAAATTGGTTTT